TTTACGGACTTGGACAGATTATTGGGATACAGTTGGGGAACAGCTGTGTTGGTTACCCTTTACAGATATCTCACAGATGATTTATGTTCAATTGTAAGCAGCTCGTTGATTATCCTACTTTCCTACAAGTCTTTAATTAATTTAGTTAATTATATTTTAATTAATTTTATTTAGTATATTAATTTAATTTATTTAGTTTATCATGTTATAATTAATTTTATTTAGTTAACATACTCATGATACGAAGGGTCCCTATAAACATCATTCCCTACTGGTTTTTTGCCTTTCTTCTTGACTCCCCCTTTGGTTTTTACTTTCTCGGGTGTTGGACACAAAGAAGTCATTGTGGGGTAGGCAAGTTCACAAACCCTACTTTTTAATGCCCTTTTCCCAACAACATCTAGTGACCTACACCTTTTCCACAAGTCATCTATTGCACTGCTCATATCCACATCCGATTCATCATCTACATCTACCTCCAACTCAACTTCCATACTTAGTTTCCTCCAATGAACATGCACAACATCTATTGATATCGATATACCACTAAGTTATATCTTCCTAACTCACAAGCACAAGGTAACTCATAAGATGTTCTAAGAGTACAACCACATATTTTCCTGTTAGTTCAAACATAATTAACTCTCAATAACTCTTTAGTAATGTGTCTCAAAGCAGCTTGAGACATTGAACCACACATATTACATAAAATGGACTTATGTGCGCGTGCTCAAATTCATAAAAACTTTGTTAAAAAGAAAATCTAATTTTGTCCAGTTGTAACTTTAAGTTGTTATTCATAGCCTCCCAACATTTTACCATGTCACTTATACTGTTCCCCAACATCTGCTTTAACTTCCAATGAGCAGACTCAACCCTAAAAATAATACATATTAAAAATACTTAAAAAAATGCAAATTATAAATATACAATTTAAAAATGATAAAAATAAATACATAGTAAAAAATATTAATGCAAAGATACATACTGATTAGTCGTGGTGTTACCCAAATGTAGCACTCGATTACTCCATGCTCTAACAAATCTCTGTCTATGTGGTGTCAACCATTTGTATTTCACATAATCAATAAATTCATTACAATCAACACACACCTGCTCAAGTTGTTGCAACTGTTGATCATACTCAACCTCATCACTAGCACATACAACTTCCATCCATAATGTGTGGATCGTCTTTTGCATGTATTTAACCACATGTTGCTTGCATTTTGCACCAAAGTTTTTGTTAATGTGAAATTGACACAGCAAATTGGTCGATCTTGGAACACAATTTCAATTGCTTTCATCAAAGCAATATCTCTATCTGTCAAAATCACTTGTAGACACAAATGTTTCTTCACAAACAATTGTTTAAGCTTATCCAACACCCAACAAAAATTCTCAGCCAGCTCAAACTCCATATACGCAAATGCGACAGTAAAAGTCAACTCGGTTGATGTCATAACAACAATTTCAAACAGATGTTGCCTATATTTGTTTGTCTTGTTGGTGTTGTCCATAACTAACACAATAGGAAAAATATTCAACAACTTAACTGAATCTGGATGAGCCCAAAATATCTCTCTCACAACTTCCAATTCATCTCTTTTCCTACTCCAATAAACATAATCTGCATCCTCAATAAAATTAAAAGAATGTTGCATCTCACTTCTATGACCTCTTATCTCTTTTTCTATCATACTCTTATGCTTATATATTTGCATGATTCGAGTGACATTCTCTAGATCTCTCTCTTGCAAGAAAAATAATATGTGTCTAGGTGAAACATGTCTCTTTGTCAAATCAACAACACACAACTTCTGATCCTTGGTCAACCTATCAACAAAGGAGTAACCTTCTAACCTATCAGGTAAACCATGGTTATGAACTCCACATTTTACATCAACCTTCCATCTAGACCCATCTTTCGTCGGAGTCGACCCAACTTTAAATGGACATCCACATTTTTTCGTGGCACGTTGGGTTCCACTATTAGTATCCTTGTATTTTCCACCTTTATCACAACCAAATATTAAGTTGTTACTTCTCTCTCTCTCTCTCTCTCTCTCTCTCTCTCTCTCTCTCTCTCTCTTGTTTGTTTCAGTATCTGAACGAGTGATAATAGCAATCAATTTATTTCGGATTTCAACCTCTTTAATCCACCTTTTCACCTTTTCTCGTGTACCAAATCTTTGAGTAGTTGAAAAAACATCAAAAGTATCTACATATAATTAGTTTTTATCACATATTTGTGGAGGAATTTCCATACATGCAGTATAAAAGAATTGTAAAAAAGTACATTTAATAAAACAAATTGGAAGTCTTACTAAAAGAGTTCCGATACACAAAATTAACAAACCGGACAACTTGAAAAATGTGTTCCGGTACACAAAAGAGTTAAAACCAGAAAACATTAGTAAAGTGTTTTGGTACAACTATTTTTTGCCACAAAACTGAAACTCTTTTAGTAAAACTTCCGGTACAAGTTTTGTGATAAACCGGAGCGCTTTGACTAAGTCTTCTGGAATGAGAAAAAAACATACTGAAAGTCATGTAGAAAGTCTTCCAATGCGACTATGATTTGGTACAAATTTTGAAAGTCTCAAATGAATGGTAAAAAGTAAAATAGTAAATTAATTAAAAACAAGTCAGGGTAAAATTAACATTTTAAACAAAATGCATGGGTATCAATATAACTGTAGGGGTATGAGATAAAATTTTCTGATATCTATTGGACCCAGCCCCAGAAATATAAGAAAATAATTACTCCCTCTGTCTCATTTGCAAACCCTACTCGAAAGGCGATTTGGATCTTTGCTTTTTAGTTAGCCTCAATGAAGCCTCCAATTTAAAGCTTTGTTGGGATCTTGTTAATTTAGATGAGTCTTGGGTTGTTCTGCTTAGGAGTCATGTTTTTTGAAAGTTCAAAGTTATCAATCATCACACTTTCTCCTCAATTCATACTAACATCAAACCTAGATATTCTACTATTGAAGACAATTCTTCTTGGATGCTTGGTAATGGAAGCTCAATCAACTTATGGTCTGACATATGGTGCGGCCCCCCTTTCAGACAAGTTATGAGAAACTCCCTAATTGATGATAGATTCGGTATCAATAAGTTGATTTTAAACCAAAATTGGAATTTTTCCGCCATTGACCCTCCAATCCCAAATTTTGTCAACGACCACATTCAAAGGTGTCACATTCCTTATGATCTTCGTCTGGATAAGACCAGGTGGACCTTTCTTCTTCTGGTGATCTATCTCTTAAGCAAGCTTATAATATCAAGCGTGTGAAAAGTTCTGAAATCAATTGAAATTCGTTTGTTTGGTTTAGCTATTTACCGCCTTCGAAATCAAATATGATTTGGTCTATTTATCTCTATTAACTTTATTCTTGCAGCTGCTTAGGTCTCGAGTAATAACACTAAGCGGCCACTTAAAGCCCCAAAAATAGTTAAAGTTGTTTGGAATTTCCCCCTTAGAGACGGATCAAAGATAATTGTGATGGAGTGTCTTTGAACAATTTGGGGATTTTGGCTTGTGGATGTATTTTTAAAGATCACAAAGATTGTTTTTTTTTGAGCTTTTTCTCAATTTTTAGATGTTTCAAACTCTCATTGTCACTTTCGAGAGCTATGCCTACCATTGAGTTCATCTATAAAAAAAAGGTTGGCTTAATGTTTGGTTGGAATCTAACTCTGTTGCACTAATTCAGACTTTCAAGCCTCTCTATAAAGTGCCTGACTTTCAAGCCTCTCTATAAAGTGCCTTGGGAGATTCGTAACAGATTGGATCAATTGTGTCACTCTCACTACTAGAATGTGTTTTATTGTTTATCATATTTACGGAGAAGAGAATACTTGTACAGACTCGCTTGCTAACTTAGGTTTCGCAATTACTAATATCGTTTGAAGGAATACTTGTTTGAAGGAATACTTGTGCAAACTCGCTTGTTAACTTAAGTTTCACAATTACTAATATCGTTGGATTTGATTGGCTGACTTAGGTTTCGCAATTACTAATATCGTTTGAAGGAATACTTGTTTGAAGGAATACTTGTGCAAACTCGCTTGTTAACTTAAGTTTCACAATTACTAATATCGTTGGATTTGATTGGCTGACCTTGTGTTTGAGAGCAAATTTTGTAAAAGAAATAAACTAGGTTTGCATTTCTTTAGGTTCTCATCACACTGAGAAAGTCTTGGTCTACTCTCCCTCTTTTTTTAAATCCTTTTTCCTTTATATATATTTTATCTTATTTAAAAATAATAATTCATCCTTGGATATTTTCATCCTTTAAGTAGTCCATGTCTGCATGGAGCAATTACTCTGTTTTTCTTTGGTAAATCCTTTAAGTAGTTCATGTCTGCAGGGACCAATTACTCTCTTTTTTTGGTAAGCAGAGTCTACAACATGAACTATGGTATAAACCAGAGTTAAGTAATAACCACATACTCTCTTCTTCCCACCTTGGCTAATCATTTTCTTCTCATATAAACTATTTCAATAATGCTAGGCTTTAGCAAAGCTCGAATCATCATCAAAAATTGGTCAAGGCAAGTTGAATTCAAATAGTGGCAAGGCAAAAAAAAAAATGCATTTAGGGGGGAAAAAGGTTGGAATCGTGCAAGTTTTTGCCATGCAACACTTGCAAAACTCAAGAAACAATGGTCTTGTTCTTGAAATGTCATCCCTCAAATAAGATGCTACAGATTTATGACATTACTCATTACTACTATAATATCTTCTATACCTCTAACAAGATTAACCAAATATCGTGACTCATGAGTATATATTTCAAATTAAAGTTTAATCTAATGATAACCAATCAAACACAGTCCATCAGAAGTTAATTGGATTCTAATGATCCAAAACTCGCCGAGTATTCCCAGGGTTGGCACATTCACATCTCTTCTATCGAAGTATACTTTTTACCAGAATAATGTTTGGGGGTGACAGATTATACATGAATATAGACACCAGGCAACTACCTTCATCAATCATTACGGCTGAGCTGAAGTACATATCGAGCATTTTGCAGAAGAGTGTCGGCTTCCTCATTTGAAGCATCAAGTGCGCGCAATTCTTTGATTTCTTCCTGCCATTTTTCAACTTGCTCCTTGTGAATCCTGCATAGTAGAAAATTAAAAGAATCATACCATAAATCATCAAAAACTAACTGTACTAAAAGTGAAAGATAGTTCCAGCTTTGAGTGTTCAATGGTAACTTCATATCTCACATAATCAGTTTCTCTTCAAATTCATTACAGAGATCCTTAAACATTGTTTTCCCTGATTCTAAGAGCTCAGATACCTACAATCAAATCAAAATCAATCAATTCAAGGAGTTGAAATTCATCTAAAGCATGATTTCAAGCTTCAAACAATGTGTAACTAACTATATACAGCTAACAGATACCCTCTGAGTAAAATTCTCAATCTTCTCGAGAACAAGAGAAATATTGAGTTCCATATCTTCAGATCCAACGAGGTTATTCTCAAATCCTTCATCCTGTACAAGTACAATCTGCGATTCTGCTTCATCTCCAATCTTTTCCTGTACTTGTATATTGTCAAAAGAAAAACAAATGAAATCTCAAATGATGCAAAAAATGCAGTAAAAATTCATCAAAGTTGAAAACAACTACCTCAGGTTTCATACGTTTCCTTGAACCTCCACTATCCATGCTTCCTTTTTGAGTTGACATTGGTTGATTAATCTTACAGATACAATTACAAAATCAGTTACCATTAGTTTCTAGGTTACATAAATTTCCTAACTAAGATGAATTTCTAGGTTAAACAAATTTCTTAACTAAGATTAGTTTATTATTATAGACAAACATTATAAATCAGAAAGAAAAAAAAAGAAGCTAAGTAGTTAATCGCGGCCAAAATCGGCGTGTTCGCGGCGGTGTGGAGGGGAGCGGCCGCTCAGATGCATTTCACGAGAACAGAACGGCGCGCATCACTGTCGCGGCTGCCTCACATGCATTTCACGGTGCATGTAGCTGCCGTCGCGGCTGCCTCGGATGCATTTCACGGCGCATGTAGCTGCCGTCGCGGAGTTTCGCACCCGCTGTAATGAAGTTTTTCTGAAGAATGAACTAAGCATATCGACAGAGAAACCTGAAGAAGCGCAGTAGAAAGAGGAGGAATGGTGTAGAAGAAATGAAAAATCACAATAGGAACCGGTAGCGTGCAAAGAAAGGACTCAAACTTGGAAAAGGGAGAATGAAATGAAAATATATAGTAATAAAACTAAAATAAGCGAAAATTGGATAGAATAATTTTTTTTAAAAAAATTGAATAAAAAAATCGATAAGTAGAATATTTAGTAGGTTTAAGGATTTTGTGCATGGACAAATTTAAATAATGATGACTTTCTTATTTTATTGAAAAGTAAATTAAAAAATGATAGCAAAGGGAACAATACAAGAGAAGAGATCACTCATAATCATTAGACAACAACAAACATAAAATGTGAAAAACTCTATCGAATCAAGTATACTCGCTACACAATTTGCACAATAATTAATTTCTCATTAAATATGTTCGATCTCACACTTTCAATCTATTAAACATGAGACAACTTCATTGTAATCACACCAAAGAAATTCATCTCAACAAACAAAAGGAAAATAAACTCAAACTACTCATTATCAAATCATGAACTAACTTTTAGGATTTTTTTTTGTCAAAAACATGTTTCTCATTTTTCAGTCTCTTAACCTGTTTTCGATTTCAAGCTAAAAATAAGATGGAGGTCTCTTTTGGTTGTAGTTTTGATTTCAAATGAAGAAGAAAAATTATATACAAGATAACCTTCTTTACTCTCATATATTAAACCAGGTTTTGATTTCTTCCATATTTCATAATCAATGATTCAAATTATATGTTTCATTTCTCAATTTGTTGATTTTGTGCTATGTGTTTTGTGTTTCAAATCACATGTTTTATAATTAACCAAAATTTTCTTTTTGATTTTGTGTTTTTTACTTCTGAAAAATAACATGTTTTTGTAAGTTCATATATGTTTCAAATCACATGTTTCATCTCTTTGATGTTGTGTTCTGCTTTAAATAAGTAATTTTCGAGAAGAAGTACACAATGTTTTAGGTTTGTTCAATTTTCTACTGTTTTAGATTTTTTCATCCATTTGAATTTGATGTTGCTCTATTTCAGATTCACTTAAGTACACCACGTGTTTGACAAAATGCAGAATCTCTATTCAAAAATATACATGTTTTCAAAATTTCTATTAGAGATTTGAATGTTATATATTGGTTATAAATTTAGAACATTCACATTTGTCTTTGAGAATCTAAAGGCTTTGTGTATATTTGCTTACTTTGGGTAAGAATGGAAAGGAAGATTATGATCTCATGGATGTCATGTTAAATGCTTTTATATTTCTTAAACTTATATTTTATAATGGTATGACCCTTCTTGCAATAAAAGTTACAAGTTAAATGATGAGAAGAGTTACCTTTGCTAATTTAATCATTTTCAACAAAGCTATACCTTCTATAAGGATTATGAGAATGCATATTATATTTAGTAGTATCAATAGCAAAAGTAACCTTATGTTTTAATGTCTTGTCCAATTTAGTTTTAAGAGTATTTATCTCTTTTTGCCAAATATGACAAGTTTCACAACCAAACCATGACGATTCATCATCCTCATCTTTAACCTTTTGAATATCTACCATAGATTGCTTAAGAGCTTCCATATTCTTTTTGGTTTCCAAAATTTTAGCTTCTAAATGTGAACAAATTCTTATGTTTGAAGCTAAATTTTTGAAATAAAGCTTTTTGCAACTCGAAATAATACAAATCATCAACATGTTCATATTTAGAGTGACTTACATTCTTTTTCTTCTTGTCGCGATAATAAGCGGAGAGACAAACATTTTCCAATTCTTTCTCATCATTTAAGCTTTCATCACTTGAGGAATCGATGTCGCTTTCCCATGCAATATAAGTTCTTCTAGACTTGCTAGATTTCTTGTGATGACCTTTCTCTTTGTCTTTCTCTATCAATGGACACTCTGACTTGTAGTGTCTGCCTTTGCCACAATTGTAACATGACTGTCTTGATCTTCCTTTGTTGTCATCATCTTTCTTTGACGAGTTTGATTGTCTTCTGGATTTGATGAGATTTTTGTCCGAGAACTTTACACCATTTCTTTTCATCTATTTGTTGAATCTTTTCACAAAGAGTCTCATATCTCATTCATCTGAATTCTTGTCATCTCTTATTTCACAATCACCTTACTCACTAGTTGAAGATTTTGAACTTGAATCCTTTAGAGCAATAGACTTCTTTTCTTCCTCCTTGTCTTTACCTTTCCCCTTCTTCATCTTCTTCTCATGCTTTTTTTCATGTTTTTTCAAGCAAGTGAGTTCTTACTCATGTTCTTCTAGAGCTCTCAATAAAATTGTGAGATCAAGTATTTTAAGATCATTCGCTTCTTTGATTGCAATGACCTTGGGTTGCCATTTGTCATACCCCAATTTTGACACTGAATCGCCGAATCAGTAGAGTTATCATGACATCTGCATCATCTGCATAGCATAACATGTGTTTCATCTCGCATAATGCCCAAAATGTCAATCAAAATATCTTTTTTTTTGGATTTTACAGACAGATCGGTCAAACTGAATCTCAACTGAACGTAAAATTAGTGGACAAAAAATTTCAAAGTCGAGCTTGCAGACGTCCATTATATTAATCTACGTTTCACGTAGTTTAACCTGGCGTGCTCGTTTTAATTTTAAACACCTTTTTCGATCACATTTTGATCAATTTGAATCTTTTAACCGGTCAAAATTTATTTCAAAATTAGATCAAATACTGTATTTTTTCAAAATATTTATTTTGCGCTGATAATTTTGATGCACTAAGTTTATTTTTTTCGAACACTTTTGCGCCCGACTTTTTTTATTTTGAATCCGTTTATTTTTATTTTTTATTAATATTTTTAAAATAGTTAAATAAAATTTTTGGTGTTTTTATTTTGATATTATTTTAATTATTTTAAGTGTTTTATTTTGTTTTAGTTTTAATTGGTTTATTTTATTTTTGCACCAAAGGCAATGTGAGAATTAATAAAAAAATGGAACCCTAATGCATACACTATAAGAGGACTTCTATTGGCCGAACCATTTCTCAACCTCACTTTCAACTTTCTCTTTCCGTTACAAAATTAGAAGACACAAAAACTGAACACAAAAAAACACTTTCATTTTTATCCTCATTTTTGCTTTTCTTCTTTCTCAACCTTGTGTCATTTTTTTTACCATAATATAATTCTCATTTCATGTCACAGAAAAGCACCTCAAAATCCACCTCTTTATATCTCTCATTTTTCGTTTCAAAAAAGTGAGAGGAGAAAAAGATTAAAAAAAAAACATAACTATATCCTATTCATTTTTCACACTACAGGAATTTAAAATTTTCAAAACACACCACCCTCATGCATATGAAGACACCACCATAAAACCAAAACAAGCTCCATTTTGTCTAAACACAAATCCTACCATCTCTCCACACAAACCACTCTACTACACTTCTTCATATCAGCCCCCACATTCCATTAACATGTAACCAACATGCAACTTATCACACATACTCCCTATTTTATTTTCATATCAACCTCACACTCCATAATATATCTTATTCTCATTTAAGCTTCCATCTCACTCACTAACTTCATCATTTTATTCTCATTTAAGCTTCCATCTCACTCACTAACTTCGTCACTTCCAAACTCACCTTCTTTACTAACAAAACTCGACTCTAAACACACACATAATATCTTCATTTCTTACCAACTTCATATTCCAACCATAAATGTATCCTCTTCAAACTACAAGCTCCAACATAAATCTACACCATACTACATTCCATAACCCTCACATGAAACTTCCACCATCTCTAAAAAAACAAACTACAATTTACCTTCATGAACCACATCCTTCAATCATACCACAACACTAACAAACAAATTTTTTTTACCCAAAACTATGTGTGTCTTGATTTTAATTTTTAGATACGTAAGAAAAAGATTGCAAAATCTTGTCAGATCCCCTAATAATAAAAACTTTTTTAGGTCCTTTTCTCTTTTCTTATCCCTCTTAATAAATTGAGAAGCCTATCTTTTAAAAACACTAACACACACAACTAACCTAACGGTCTCCGTTGAGTACAAAGAATGTGAGAGGTGATAATACATTCCCTTTGCGTAACCGACTTCCGAACCCAAATATTGATTGCGATGACCATATCCTTGTCTTTCTTTTAGGGGTTTTATTCTGTATTTTCTCTTTCCCTCTATGGGAATAAATAAAGACCGACGACGATTCTGTTAAGTCCATATTGCGAGCGTGCGATTGCGCTTCGCGAGGTCGTTCTCATTTTTTGAGCTAGGATAAATGGTGACTCTGCTGGGAAAAATCTCATCCTTAAGTGAGTCAAGCCTAGTTAGGTTTTGTTGTGTGTGTTTATGTTTGTTTATCTATGTGGATTTGCTTTATTTAATGTTTCACTATTGTTATATTAATATATGGCTCTATTGGAATATTGGTATTTGTATTTCTGATTGCAAAATCTTGAGGGAAAGGCTATATACCCGAGCTTTGAGTAAAAACATAAGATATGACGATGGTTGAGTAGTGTGGGTCTGCGAGATTTAGATCTCGTTAG